CCCCCGGCCTCTGCAGGGGAGGTGGGAGGGGAGCAGGGCCCGGCTCCAGCGAGACAGCCCAGGCGCCCTCCTGGACGGACCCGGCCTCCGGGTGGCTTCGTGGACTTCCCGGTCCCAGACAGACCCGGCCCCGCTCCTGGAAACTGTGGGGCCGGGGCAAGTGTGTCTGTGCCCTGAGTCCTCGGTACCCCAGAAGAAGCACTTCTCGAGAGGCGGGTGCTTGTGCAAACGGAGCTGATGGGGGCGGTCCCCGTGCCAAGGGCGGCCTGCTCTGCCCTCCCCTCCCGGGGGCTGGAGCCCGGAGAGCTGGGGTTGCCCAGCCTAGCCGCGTCTTCCTTTTTCCTCCTCCGTGCTCCTGGATTCCACTCCTAAATCAGTCTCCTTCAAAGGTGCGCCAGTGTGTTTTGCGTCCATATCTCCTTTATTACCCATTTGGAATCCAATCATCTCCTTTTTGAAGTGGGCGGTTTCCCACTCTGACGTTTGCTCTTAAATCAGGGCACGGGACTTCTTGCAGCTGTTGCTGGCCCGGAAACTCCCCTTTGACCCAAGGCAGCGGTCTCTGGGGCTGTCAGTCTGGAGTTCGGTACGCGGAGTTTTGGGAAAGGGCGAGCCAGGGCTCAGGGGTTCAGGCTCTGCCCCTCCGCCTCATGAAGTGATTTCTCTTTTGCCCTCTCTGACCCCACCGGAATCTGCACCGAGGTCGGCTGGCTCTTTGTTTATCTACGCGAGTTCATGCCTTTGCCCATCTCTGCTAGGGGAGGGGAATTGGGTGAGAATGTTGTTACCGCTCACAGGACGTCGCGCAGCTGGGAAGTAAGTTCTGCTGGGTCTGTCAGTAACAAGCCTCGAAGAGTTAGGCAATTTGGGGATAAAAAAATGTAGGAAGGGGAGTATTTGTGAGCTAGTAGCATTTTTATGGATTAAACAAAATATTGCGTAATTTTCACTGCTCAGAGGGGTAAAAACGATCGAAAGAAAAATGTTGGTTTCTCGTTTTAAAAGGAGTTTGTTTTATTTTTTAGAAAATCCTTTTTAAAATTTTTTTGGTACTGAGGTTGAACTCGGGTCTTTGTGCTTGTGAGGCAGGCGGCAGCACCACTGAGCTAAATCCCCAGCCCTAGAAAATATATTTTTTAAAAAAACCTGCTGTGTGAACAGGTCTCCTTCTAGATGCTGGGGGTGTGAGAAGAAACAAAATCTACACTATCTGTTTTTATGAAATAGTGGGAGAAGAGCAATAAATAGCATACATAGGTCAGATGTCAGTAATGTGGTTATGCAAAGCAGGGAAAGATTTAAGGGTGCTGGGACTGCAGGAAGAGAGTGCTATTTAAGTGGGATAGTTTCAAGGAAGGCATCACTGCCAGGCAAAGTTGGAGCAGAAGAAAATTCTGTAGGATTAAAATAGCATGTGCAAAGAAAGGCCTTGAGGCAGAAATTTGTCTGTATGATCAAGAAAGAGCAAAATGCCCAGAATGGCCGGAACAGAGGAAGGGAGGGAGGGAGGAGGCGGGAGGGAGAAAATGGTCAGAGGTAGAGGGGTCCTTTCAGGTAGGCTCTAGCTCTAGAACCTGCTGTGGAAACTGGGTTTTCTGAGTAAGACGGAAGCACCTGAGTATTCTGTGAGGCTCGGTGATACTTGATAAGAATCATCCGGCTCTGGTTCTGAACCTGGATGGTAAGGAAGGTGAGAGCAGAAGTGGGCTGCCCAGGCAAACAAAGCGGGTTACCAGTTCCTACCGGCCTTAGCAGTGACACTGGCTGGGAGTGGTCAGATTCTAGATCACAGTCCCTGACTTAGGATGATTAGCGACGTTTCGACTTTGTGATGGCAGAAAAGCAGGATGCATTAGGTAGACACTGCACTTTGATTTCAGATCTTTTCTGAATAGTGCTATGCGCTGCGGTCCTCACATGGCCTCTGGGAGCATGGTGAGCCACTGGCCCAGGCTGCCATGTGGTCACAGGGGGAGGACCGTTCTCTACAGTGCCTTGCACTGCTGTGTGGTGAGCTTGGCAGGCTGAGTGTATCCAGTGCATTGTTGGCTGATGCTATTTCCAATGTGCCATGGGCTTAGTGGAACATAACGTCATTGTCTGCTGAGGAACATCTGTATATTAAAGGTAGCATCAGGAGGATTTAATGATGGATTGGATTCCTTCTAAAAACAGGAAAGGAACGAGGGGCGGTCAGATGACTATAACACAGAGCAGGTGTGACATGTAGGCAGCTGACCTGCAGACTCAAAGCCACGGGCTCAGGGCTCTCCTGGCTCAGTCTCCCAAGCCCCACAGCGCCACACCAGCCAACCTGTGTCGGCCAAAGCCATCACAATTCTGCACAGATTCCACTTCTTAATGGGGAGAATGTGAAGACTGAGTTGGAGGAGCCAATGAATAGGCTGAGCCCATACTTCTCTAGGGATTTAGCTAGTAGTTTCTATGTGCCAGGCCCATCAGGGAAGCCACCTCGAAGCTCAGCTTCTCCGGGGAGGATTAGGAAAGGGGATTTCTTCAGGAAGCCATGGAAGGTAGTGTGGTATAGGAAGTCACTGTTAAAATGGAAGACTGAGATCGGGGGCCCAGCTCAGAGTGGGGATTCCTTAGGGGCCCCGGTGTCTGGGTGGGAGGCATGAGACTGGGTTGCATTTCTTCAGGGAAGCAGGGAGGAGGGAGGAAAAGACCAGAGACAGTGTGGGCAGAGGAGCAGAGATGAAGAGAGCTGGGTGAGCAAGGGAACCAGATGCTCCTGCAGGTAGGTGGCCCGGAGTATAAAGTTCAAAGAACAGAGGCACCAAAATGGGATCCTAAAAAGTGAGAGGGCCAGAGATTGAGAGGCCCTTGCTGCTGTCTGAGGGACCTTCACCTCTTAAATGAGAGTTGCTGCGAAACTGCATCATCGTCATCATCATCATCATCATCATCATCATCATCATCATCATCGCTGTCTCCCTGTGATATCCTGGGGCTGTAGGACATTCCCATGGCTTCGGGGTCTGAATGTCTGCAGTACCCCATAGCAAGGCTTTCACAGCAATTTTAGAGACTCCTTTTCTTGAGTAATCAGATATTTAAGGAATAATTCACAGGGAGGAGGATAAGCTCTGGAAATGGCCCTGCTGCTGCCTGCAGGAGTGGAGGGCTCTGGGAATTGAGATCCGCCCACCAAGGGTGTGGCTCCTGCGTGTCCAGGAGAGTCCCGGAAAAGGGAAAAGTCGCACACAGGTGGCCGTGCCCTGTCTGTCTTTGCTGAGGGGCTGCTCTGCATCCCTGGACTGGGTTCTCAGCCCTGGACAGCGAGACGTGAAGCAGCCTAGACCTGCCCGGCAGGCTCACGCCAGCCTCTCTCCATGCTGACCCCGGTGCACCCAGCGTCCCACTGAGTCAAGACTGCCCCTCTCCAAACCACCTTGCCGGGAGAAATGGTCCTCACAGGCAGATCTGCAGATCCCCTTCCGCTGTTTGTTCCCAAGCCCTGAGCCTGGCTGTCAGGTTCCCCCACACTCTCCGCCCCAGTCCCCACGTTCCTCCTCCCCACAGCATAGCTTCCGTGAAGCTGGTAGAGGCTTCACATATGACCCAACCAGGGCCCCATCTTCCTTGAAGTCTTCCCCGGCCCCTGGTGAAGATGGTCTTTCCCCACCTTGCCTGGACTCGGGCCCTGTGAACAGACCCAGGTCTGGACATCAGAGCTCACTGCTGGAGAGTCCTGTTCCTGAGGCATCCTGACCAGCTTCCATTTCCGCTTCAACCATACACTAGCAGTTTGGCTTTGGGTAGTTACTGAGTTTCTCTTTGTCTTGTTTGCAAAGGAGAGAAAATAATATCCACTTCGTAGCATTCACCGGAGACTTAAAATACCTTAACACACAGAGAGAGCTCAGAACAGCTCAACACATTCCGAGGGCAGTGATCTCTACCAACTAAAAAGACTGGAAGTTATAGTGATGTAGCGCTGGTGGTTTTGGTTTGAATTGTATCTTCCCCTGTCCTCCAAAATGCACGTGTTGAAGCCCTAAACTGCCCCAGTGTCTGAGAATGTGGCCCTATTTGGAGATACTGCACTGGATTTGGAGAGAATTTACAGAATTAAATCACATTCTAATGACCTCACTTTAATTCAATGCGACTGATTCCCTAATGAAAAGGGCTAACATGGGCCTGGAGCTGGGCACAGCTGGGGCGGTGCGAACATTCAGGGAGAACGCCGGGTGAGCTCAGGGCCTAGGCCTGGAGCAGACCTTTCCCTCCCAGCCACCCTGGAGAGACCACACTGCCCCCACTTCGATCTCAGACTTCCGGCCTCCAGAACTGTAAGACCAGTGTGGATGGCACAGCCTGTGGGGCCCTGGGAAACTGACCCTCAGGCCTTATGAATAAGTAATTAAGAAATTAATGTAAATATTAATTACATGTTGTAAATATTCAGCTTGGTGCCTTCCCCAACCAGCCTGGGAGGTGTTCCGTATCCTGTTGTTGCTGTGACATCTTCAAAAGCTGCAGCTAAGCTTGGCAATTCAGGGACAAAATCAGAAAAGCATGAGCTGCCACTTGGCCTGGGAAAGGGGCAGAGCTGATCGTGGGGTCACGCTCTGTGTTTCTGCCCATCACTGGCTTCTAGGATTTGTTTTTCACATCTGTAAAGCAAACAATAGCATACCCTTTGAGTCTTAAAAATTAATCAAATTAATGCTTTGTGTTATTCAGAGTATTACATACAGGCAAGTTATAAATAATGTGCTTCAGAAATAATAATTAAGCCATATGTAACATAATCCTGGCAAGAGCCAATGTTTTATTTCTTATTCTTCACTCTTATTTTTACTGTTACCATCTTCCGTGCTTTACAAATACAGAATGAGCTATAAACTCAGGCATGTTGAACTTGAGTCTCCATTCTTTTCTATCAGGGGGGTGTGTCACAATTTGGGATTGAACTCAGGGTCTTCACCCCTGGGCTATGTCCTCAGCCCACTAAGAAGAAATTTATTTTCAGACAAGATCTCTCTAAGTTGATGAGTTGCCCAAGGTGAGCTGAAACTGGTGTTCCTTCTGCCTCAGCCTCCCAGAATGCTGGGGTTATAGGCCTGCACCACCAACCCCTCTTCTATTATTATTATTATTATTATTGTTGCCTCTCAATGGGTTTATTGGTACATTTTAGGTATACAGTACAATTACATTCATCATTGGGATCTTGTACCTTTACATGACAGGTCTTGGTTCTCATTTTTTTCCCCTTGTCCCTGCTCTCCCTTTTCCCTTTTCCTACTCTCCCCATTTACAAACACTTTATTTCCATTTTTTCATTTTCTCATATTTTTTTTCTTTTCCTTTATTCCCTTTCCCCTACCCTTCCCATTTTCCCTACACCTTTAGCTCTTTTCTTCCTATTTCACATTGTCAATTATCCCTTTAGGATCTTGAGTACTAGTATAGTATGTTCACACCAGAGAAACTATTCAGTATTTACACATGTGTGGCTTTATTTATTTCACTTAGTATATCCTCAATATGTATCCATTTTCCTATGAATGAATTTAATTTCTTATTCTTTATGGCTGAATAGTATTCCATTTTATAGAAAAACCACATCTTCTTTATCCAGTTTCCAACTGATGGGCAAATGGGCTGTTTCCAAGTTTTAGCTATTACAAACTGTGCCAGTATAAACATAGGTGTTCATATATCACTGTGATATGATTCTTTTAATTCTTTTGGCCAACCCCACTTCTTAAACATTGGTTCAGTCCCTTTTTATCATGATAGTGAGTGGTATATTACCCAGAGGCTTTAAAAAGTTTTCTAAAATT